GGTGGCAGAACTACTCAGCATTCTTGCTGATTTGATGATGGGTCAGAAATCTCATCTTCCTGGAGGACAGTTAATGTTCTCTACCTTCTTATACCCAAGCAGAGATTGTTGAGTGACTCTCCACAATCTTCCTCTATTTTCTTTCATTTCAAGTGAAACTAATTTGTAGCACTTAGTTGTGAAACAAAATCCAGGTAATAGCACTCAGAAAGTTTGCATTGTTAGGTCTAGGCAGCTGAAAGACGTTTTCTTTGTACTAAGTGCTGAACTGACAAATCATCACCCAGCGAATGAATGCAAGTCAGCCTGAACTACTAAGCGACTAAAGCACATTCCTCACCACCAGTAGGAGGGAGGCAATGTATTAAGCTTTTATCAGTCAGTTTTCAAAATACTTTAATATCTCATTAACTCAATACAAGTAATTTAGAATTTAAATAGCTTAGATATAGACTAGCCCAGACTTGAACTTTTTATGATTTGTGAAGAAGAGCTTGCAAAATAAATTAATGATATAAATATTATTTCAGACAAAGTGCCTAATTCATTGGAAGAAAAACTATTTTTAACCTGTCTCAAGTTATTATAAATTAAGATTATGGTCTAACCTTTACATTAGTTTTTCCTGGAATTCCTTTGCAGGTATCATTTTGTCTAAATAAAAAGAAAAGAACAGTTTTAGAAACTTGATATTTCTAATTATTTTGTCCAATGCATGCTTTAGTATTGTATTGAAAACAATGTGTTTTAAATTTCTTCAAGTCTCTTTTCCTTAAATAGAATCCATTGTTGACAAGATTAAATAATTCATGCACCATGAAAAGCTTGCCATCCACCTTATGATGTGGGGGAGCCAGGATCTGAGCAGAGGTCACAGGTCACAGTGCCCTTGCTCTTAAACACCTTACTACATTGCTGATGGTCTCTGTTGGGTGTAGTATAAGCAGTGTTTTTAATTTGCTTTTTTTTTCTATTTCTCCTCGTTTCCTTTCCACCAGGATGTTGAGTCTAGATATCTTTATTCATCTGAAAGTAAAGTATCTCACTAAAGCAGATGATCTCCTGGGTTTGAACCCACTAAGCTCAGAAGACAACTACTCATTCATCAATAATTAAAACTGTAATGCTGCATAGATATATGGAGAGCAGAGAAGTATCGTGCTGTCAGGGCTCTTGGTTTGTATAGAAAATTCTTTTTTTTTTTTTTTTTGGTTTTTTTTTAGGGAAGGGTCTACAGGATATTCAGGGTCTCACTACTAGGTTGGAGTTACAATGATCCGCCTGTTTACAGCCTTGCAAGAGCTGGGATTACAGGCGTGCTCCACCACACCCAGTCTCAATCGCTATCTCAGCACACCCCGGGGGTGAGGCTGGCACAGCAGGCCTGGGGATCAAACCCCAGGCCTTCTGTGCCTGCTTGCAGGTGCTTTAATCTGCTGAGCTATTTGGCCGGCCCTTATAGAAAAAATTCTGACAGAGCTCCTCCAAGCACCTCTCACCTACAGGACAGTGCTAGATCTCTGCCTTGGTTGTCAACGTGGTGCTGCGGATGAGCTTTGCTGGCATGGGCAAAGTCAAAGCGGCACTGGGCTTGTTAGCCTTAGCTTAACCACTTTAAACCCACTAGAGTGTTACTTCAGCTATATAGAGCAATTGTGTTGGCTCTGAGCCCATCAAGATTCTGAGGCTCTTTCTCAAGAAAGAGGCAAACAGGAAATGAGATAGGATATATTTCACTCAGGCTATATTAGGGGGTCTATGTAGTCCAGGCCAGGGCACGTGATATAAGAAATCTAAAATGCATACAGGGGCTTTGTGAAACTGCCTTAGTTAGTGACCTCATGGGAAGATGCTGAACTGAGAATCAGAAGACTTGAACTCTGGTCCTGACTGGAGCCTGTTTTCTCTTCATTATAATAAAGATTCTCAATGGATAACTCCTAATTTTTTTTTCTAGTTCTAGTGATATGAGATTCTATGCAATATGAGAAATCTATGAGAGAAGACACAGGGTTTCTTAGAGGTCAGACTACATCCTGGAGACAAATCAAGCAGTTGTTACAATATATCGTCCTTGCTTAGGGCTGGTACACATCTGCAGGCTTCTCATTAATAGCTCAATGTGTCACATCACAGAGAATTACTCAGAAAAACACAGTATGAATGATTAAGTTATATGCTGCTGAAGGACATAAATGAAATAAAAGATACTTCAGAGAAGAATATTTTGTATACCATCATAAAATTTTTGAAAACTAAAAATACTAAAGAAGTTCTTTGGTAGACGAAATGATTTTGCAGAGGGAGAAGACAGTGAACATTGCAGAAAGAGATCAATTTCTAAGGAAAATCAGGAGTATATGAGGCAAGAATAAGTAGAGAAATTTAGGTCAATCATGTTGCCCCAGAGTATGGTTTATTTCTTGAAAGGTTAAATTTCTCAACTTACATACCTATTTCAATGCTCTCTCTTTTAAAGGAGTCCTCTTAAGAGCCTGTGTACTTATTCCATTCATGCTAGTTGTGAATAGAATCATTTCTGAAACTTCCCTTTTATAATTGCTTTCTGAAATGGACACTTTAAAAAAAATTATGGTATTTTAGATAAAGTTAGAATTATTCAAAGCCATATCTGGTGAGAAGATGGTTCTTAAGCCAGGTAATTTATTTTTCCCTTTCTTTCCCCTTCTTCTGCCCTCATCATCTCTCTCCTTATCCCCTGCCCCCATTTATTCTTTTCATTTACTCCAAAAAGATCTGGGACTAAATTATTTTTTCTATCTTACAATCTTTTTTGGAAGACTTTCAGAAGTCATTGTAAATAACCCAGTATTGTCCTAGTAAGAACATATTTTTCCAAGCTAATGATAGATGTTTAAATTCGGGTTGCTTAGTTTAAAATAGTCTGTCTTATGGCTTTATAATAATATTCCTTAGAATGAAATCTGTAGGGCTTTGGCTGGGTGTTAGAGGTGTTGAAAGCTACAGGAAACCTGAATATTATCTTCAAACTAGTGATGGGCTTGGGCAGGGAGCATTGAACTAAGTATTGAAGCAGGAGGAAAGAAAAAGGCGCTGGAGGTCATCTTGAGTTGGATCAGGGGAGATCTACTTACTAGACTAGAGGTCTGCAGAGAAAACAATGAACTTTAATCCATGTGTAGAGCCACTGCATGAAGGAGCAGAAAATATTAACCTTCTGTTGCATATGGGAATCAGGATGATGTGGTAGAAAAGACCTGGAGCTGAAAATTTATCTGAGATGCTGTTTCTGCTTCCAAGAAGTAATGTCACTTTGGACAAATAATTTAATCTCTCTATGTTTGTTTCTTAATTCATCAAATTGAGCTTAGGGGTTCACTAAAAGTTATAATTTATTTTATAAAGGAAGTATGATGAATATCTAAATATTTGAAAAACTCTCATGTGGAATAAGGATTGTACTAATGCTGCACAATATCTAAGGAGAAATCAAGTACTAGAGGGTTGAAACGAAGCAGATTTCAGCTTTAAGTAAGATGGAGTGCTCAAGCATGAGATGGCTACCTTGAGGGTGGAGGATGGTGGGATAAATATCCCCACCAGTGGATGGCTTCAAGATGAGCTGAGAGGACCAGTTTTGTGTTGTTATAAAGGGGAATGTCAGCTGCAAGAAGTGATAGGCTAGCTGATTCTAAATGCTTTCTTCAGATCTAAAATTCTAGAAATCTCTACTCTTTAAGGATCATGCTTTTTTCTTGATTACCTTTGTGAATCTACACAAGACCAGGGAACGACATTACTAAGAATCCCAGACAGTTCTAGGAATGAGACATGATCTGTGAGGCTTGGGTTCATGCTAATGTCTTTATTATTGTGAAAAAGAGATGCATACAGCCACACTGCACCTTGGAAGACTTGGAGTCCCCAAGTCTCCCTGAATGAGAAGAGTTAAAGGAGGGACCTTAAAGCTGTTACCTCTGCTACTATCGTAGGATGCCTCTTTGCTGTTTAGCAGAAACACATATTACAAGCAGCACTGGGCCCAAAGCTCTGAAATAGCATGTTATGTGAACACAGAGCAAATCATTATTGATTCCTTGAGCCATTATGGTAAAGGGACATTAATTACCATCAGGTCAGTTGTACTGACGCATTCGTAATGAGAGCACCCATGGGCATTCCTAGGGGCAGAGATGCTCATCGCAGCCGCCAGCAGAGGAGGCAGGATGTAGGTGTCCAGGAAGATCATTTTGTTGTTCTGACTTTGGTTACCTCTAAAGTTTCTGCCAATTTACACTCTCGTCCCCAGAACACTTTGTGCAATGCTTCCATCTCCTTCAAGGGTACCTTCTGTTCACTGGACATAATGCAATAATGCTTGGTTTCAGATGTGTCCTGTGGCATCAGATTCCTGCCTAGTGGACTCACCTCACAACTCTTAGGAATATGGGCTGGGCAAGACATTAGTAAGAGTTTAAAACATATGTGAATGTCTGGAAGGAGAGAAAGCCTTATTCCTACAAACCACTTTGCTTAGCAGAAATTTGTCTTTGTCTCCACCCATTTTCTTTCTTTGTCTTTACTTACTCTACCCCTTTATTTCATCTCTTTTTTCAATAATATTTGTTGACACTTAATGAGGGTCTACTATGCACCAGGTCTCAGGGTAAGTGTTTAACCTACTATCTGATTAAACCTAATGAAGTCATCCCTTTTCTTACCCCATTTTCTGCAGAGAAGGAAAAACCCTGAAGTTCAGAAGGCTAAATAGTCACTTAAAGTCATAGCAACAGATTCAAACCAAGTACTTTTATTTTAAATTATATTTTGCCTCTATTTTTATTGGACAAAAACATGAATAATTGTCTTCTATAATTAAATGAGAGTTCAAGAAGTACCAGATTTTCTAATGATATTTGTCTGCCTTTTTACTGGTTTGTCTCCATTTACCTTTTACTTTTCTTATTCTTAGTATATTCCTTCATGTGCTTAATCTTCTTTTCATTTTATCTTTACAGATATCTGATCAACGTCACTTTTGAGGGGAGAAACTTGTCCTTCAGTGAAGACGGCTACCAGATGCACCCAAAACTGGTGATAATTCTTCTGAACAAGGAGAGGAAATGGGAGAGGGTAGGACATATCTTTGACAATTCTTGAGCCAAGTAGAAGGAAGGGATGTGAAATTTTGGGACACATTACAGGAAAATGTCCTTTGGTTTTCATTACTAGACCTATGGAGCAAGAGATCAAAACTTTTAAAGCACAGGAGAAGCCATGTCTCAAGTTGTGCATTCATTTTCATGCCACTTTGGCTAATCAAAAAGTGGTTTGGGGGCTCTTTATGAGTTCCATTTATTATGGATAATTGCATAGCAGTCAGGACTTTGTTTTAGTGAAAAGTCATATTTGTATAATGTGATAATATGATGAAGAAACCAAATGGTGGTACAGTTCAGAAGTCATGTTCTATATAGTATCAGGGTAGCCCCATAAATCCTTATAGGTTGTGATTTGCTAGAATGTCTAGAGTTGCCACCTATGGCTTTGGTCTGAATCTTGGTCACAGTATTTGGTATTTTACCATTAGAAATTGGTTTCTGTGGGTTCACAGACTGCTCTGTTCACCAGCTTGTCTGTTTAGGACTTTGGAAAAAAAATATTTTAACTACTCCGTGCCTCGGTTTCCTGGCCTATAGAAACAGAGCAGTACCTATGTCACAGGAATGAAGATTAAATATATTACCATCTGTGAAAGTACTTGGCCAGGCAACAGTGAGAAACTAAATATTAGCTTTAGCTCTTGTTTCTGATCCTCAAACACAAATGTTATAGAGAATAGGGTCATGACTGACCTTTCTCAAGTATGCTCTGTCATGCTCTTGATCCTTGAGGGACTTTGCTGAAAATTTGTTTTTTCAGATAAAAAATATTGGGAAATGCTGTCTATTGTTTCTTATTCTCGGAGACTCTCAGACTATGTTAGCATTAGGTGTCAGAGCAAAGAAACATCTTCTGTTTTCTTTAATATGGAATTTCCTTGCATTATTTTACCACAAGACCCTTTGTTCAGGATATTCTATTCCATGCAAAGTATACTGGGATACTGATTTAAGGTCAGGTCCGTAGACTATATGGGCCAGCTAGCTGCGAACAGGATTCACCCTATCAGTGTGGGTCTGCCTGCAGAGGAAAGTGTTCTCAGCTTTCTGTTGCTGTGATAGAAAACCTGAAATGAATCAACTTCTAAAGAGGGAAAATTTATTTTGGTTCACAGAAAAGGAAGTTTCATTTTGGGGCTCTTTGCACTGTGTCTTTAGGCCTGTGATAAGGAGCACGTAGGTGAGGAGACCTCTTTACCTCCTGGTCAGGAAGCAAAGAGAGAGAAGGGGGGCCTGGTACTCATATTCCCTCCAAGCCATGACCCCAATATGTAAACTTCCCCCACTAGGCCTCACCTTCTAAATGTTCTACCACCTCCCAATAATGCCACAGGCTAGGGCCAGATCTTCAGCAATAGACTTTTGAGGTATATTCAAGATCCCAACTGTAACACCAAGCTATATATTTCTAGAGAGAGTAGCCAAGAAAAGAGGTCAGAGGAACACTCCCTGAAATTCCCAATCATGTTGCAGAGAGCCCTGGACAGCTAACTCTGCGACCTGTGGGCTAGGCATGGCCCAGGTAGTACACCCTGGGACCTGATTCTTCATACTGAAAGACCTCAGTCTGTCATGTACTTGCCAGCATCAGGCACAGTCATGAGGCTTCCACTGTGCCTGATGTTCTTGATTAAAGTTATCCTCCCTCCGCTGAGTTATCATTTGTTCACAAATGGTTGTTCTCCAAGCGCCTGCTCTCCACCCCAATCAAGCTGCTTTTCACTGCTGTGGAGACATTATAATTTCACAAGAGTTCTGGCCCCTCATGTATAACAGGCACTTCTGCATATCACCAGAAGAGGAGTTCTTAATAACTGAAACTTCATACATGGATCAAAAGACATCTAGCTGGGGTAGCTCTTATGCAGTGGTCTGATGATTACTGTCTCGAGCAGGTGGCATCTCCTCACTGTCCTTAAGAGAACCACTTCCCGCCCTGATAACTTCTCTAGGCTGGGGTACAACGTGTGGGCTCTAGAACTGGATGCTCTCTCTGGAGTTAGATTTTGCATCTCATCAATTTTAAGTTTATTCTGGCTCTTGAATTTACTTTTGCTTTATTTACTTTAAATACGATCCTAGAACCATGGAATGATTCTGCAAATGGGGCTCTGTCCCTGATGCCAGCCTTTATCCCCTCAGGTCTGCCCCACCTGTGGCTCCAGAATGAGCTCCTAAAACACAAATGCACATTCTTTCCCTGCCCCTCAGGGTTTCTGTGGTTTATGGGCTGGAGGCCACATTTTGCCAGTTTTTGTGTTCAAGTTCCGGTACACCTTCCAAGGCCTGCCTTCTCTTCTTGGTCATTTCCAACAGTGGACTCCCTTCTGTCCGGAGAATGTGCCCTTGTATGTCTTGCCCACTGTACATATCACAAAGCTTTTATTTCCTAAAATTCATTGTATGTTTACAGAAATCATTCTTTGAAGTGCACTTAAAAAGTCACTGCAGGTCCTTGATTGCAGTACAATGCCTCTCCCTCCCCTGTCCTCTGTAGCTTTAGTCTGTATGTCCTTTGAAGCTCATCATAGCCTGCCTTGTGTTAAGGGTTGTGTGCATGCATACTCCAAAGGGCAGAGGCTATGTCTGTCTTCTGATCATTGTGTCTTCACAGCAACCTGGAAGTGTGTATTCCATACAGTACTTCAATAAGTACTTGTGGAATGAATGAGAACCATTACATACTGAGCCTAAAACCGACCACCGAGAGTCCATGTTTATGCTGTTGCCCTTGATACAATAGCTGTTTTCTTTTGAGGAGGGAATAAAATCTTTGGGTAAATTGAATTTTTATAGATTGTGTCTTAAATGTACTGAAGGAACTTGCTATTTAAAGAAATTCTGTGGTTAATCATTTTGTAAAGCATTTTAGGAGGGGTGAGATTATAGAATGGAACATTTTCATTTCAACTTGGTTAAGCCTGGGAACATTTCTGAAGAGAGATGTTTAGTGTCTATTGAGTCCACACAGCTCTAAAATTAAGAAACCTCTATAGGTATCACTTGTGGGCAGAAAGGAGGGGCAGGAGGCAGACAGGACTCTCGGGGTTGGCTTGGATGTGAAGGAATCGCACTGGGGCTAGTTGCACCTTTTCTTCTACAGCTCCTCTGGCTCCAGGGTGTCATTCTCAAGATTCCCAATGTCATTCCAGTAAGTCCTTGTACTCCAAAAGGATTTTTATAATATCTGTGGACTCCAGGGAGGCAGGCACCAGGTTCAGCAGTGCAGGGAGGAGTAGAACACTGGAAAGTTAAGTGAGTTTAGTGGGGGGCACACAATAGCTGCGTGACCTGCTCTCTTCACTTTCCTTGATCTTTATTTCCTCATCTCTAAAATGATGGCCTGAGACTAAGACCTCTAAGGCCTTTACAGCTCTAAATTCTGGGATTACAAATTCCTGTTGTAAATGATTAGGGTCTTGAAATTAGGATGACTGCTGACTTATACAGAGGGAGCTTGCTTTTATTTTGAAGGACAGTAGCTGTTGGTGATTCTGTGTCACTCTTGTCATCCAGGTAAATTCATGACCCCAGAAAAGCCTTTCTGATGACCAGCACTAAAGTGGCCAACTAGTAGTCACTCCAACACAACAATTTAACTTTTCTCCTTTCCCTCTCTAAAGAGGGAACATCTTTCTTTTTTAGCACTGGGGATAAAACCCTTCCCCCTGAGCTACATCCTCAGTCTGTTTTATTCTTTTATGGTGAGACAGGTTCTGACTAAATTACACATGAAGGATTCAAATTTGCCTCTTGCCTTAGTTTTCCAGAGTGCTGGTATTACAGGTATGCACCACCACACCAGGCCAGTTTAATTTTCTTCTATATACTTACTATCTTGTGCTCTGCTTATTTGCCTGCTCGTTTGTTCACTGCCTGTCTCTTTTCATCAGGACACATGTTTTATGGGGACAAGGACCTTGTTCACCTCTACAATTCTAACTCTTAAGTATAGTGCTCAATGAGATCATGAAAAGATACCTGTTAAATAGATGAAGACTCTGCGTGTTTAGGAAAGTTACATGTTGACTAGCATGTTCGCTGCCACCCTGAAAGCCTTCCATTAGAAAATAGTGGTTTACTGAAGACAACAAGAGAATAGGTTCCACCCCACCTTTGGAGTGAATATTCTGGTACCCATGAAGGACTTTAGGGGAACTTTTCAGGGAGGCTCAACATCCTGCAAAGGTGTGATGTGCATGAAATAGCTTCTAACCAGGGGCCTTGGCTGGAGGAGATGATTGAGCTGTTGGTGTGAACCATGTGATGGAATTCACAATAGTCCTTTATTCCTTCAAAAAGTAGTCCCAAAGCTACTGTCTTATAAATTTGGTTCCTTTGCCATCCCTTGAAGTCAACACAGTATAAACTACTGTTTTGGAAATCGAAAAGAATTACATTCAGTCCCCTCCCCCCGGTGTCATTTATCAGCTGTACCAACACGGATGGGTGAATGACAGGACCCGAGATTATTTCCCCTCCACAAACTAGAGTTTTACATAGGTTCTTGTAAAGATTAAATGGGATCTTAGCATCAAACACCAGTTAATAGTGACTGTAGCAGAGCCAGTATTCAACACATATCATTTTGTTGTTGCTGTCCTTCATGTGTAATTAAGATGATATTTGTGCATGGTTAAAGCAAAGGGTACAGATGCTTACCTGGTAAAAGGAATGTTCTCTTTTTACATAGGGTCCTTAGCTTTTCTTTCCAGAGCAATCATCATTTGCAATTTCTGGAACCTTCCCCAGAGCTATTATTGCTGCAAATTTCGTATATATTCCTCTGAAAATACTCCAAATGCTTGAAAATGTGATGTATTTATTCTACAGGCTTTATGAAACAAACAATACCTGCTCTTGTGAACCTTTAATAGGATCCTATATAAGTACCTATCAGGACGCATCATGGCTACCATAGCAAAGATATCTCTGAATGATAAACTTGTTTAAAGAAAACCCAGAATATCA